ACCTTTTTAATTATCTTTAAAAAAGAAGCGGACATCAAAGTATCTCTTCTGGCCTGGAATGTATCATCGGTTTATCTTTTTTTGACATCATCAGTTTCAGGATGGCAGTTCTTGTGTGGTGGTGCGTTGGTATCTCCACAATGGGTTCTTACCGCTGCACATTGCTTTTACGTTCAGAGAAATAACACAAAATGGGTATGGTTTGAACAAGATATAAAACCACTCAAAAAGTAAGTCAACATGCTGCCAGTTTTACAAATCTCGAGTGAATTGTTGAAGACTGAGCACCAATATCATTTCATTTTGATTTATTTCATTTTCTCATTCATTTTAGATTTTATCTATTGTAATAGTTCGCGCTGTATTGCTGTGTTTCCTCGCGCGCTATCCATTTTTTGTGTTGTTTAAAATCGTACGTGTACTCTACCTTGATAATGGCCGCTTAGGCTAAAAGCTCGGTATTAAAATATAAGGAAATCTTAATRTCATTTTTGTCCAAGGTACAAAATCAAAGTTGGTGATCATGAATTAAGAAGCTATGAATCATCAGAACAAGAACATAAATTCCAAGAAATATTTRTACATCCSGACTACAGGCATGATCCCATCTATGAGAACGATATCGCTYTAGTTAAACTAAACCGTGAAGTCTTTCTGGGCCCGTATGTGCGCACTGTTTGTCTTCCTGGAACTGACCTGGACCTTGCYAAACCAGGTACAGTAGGAATGGTTKCTGGATGGGGAATTACTGAATCYGGTTATGGTTCYTCGTTTCTTCGCTACTCCACGTTTACCATCAAAACAAACAATGTTTGTGGGAGAGCAATAAGCTTCTACTACAACAAGACAGTAGCATTCTGTGCAAGTGATGTTAAAGGACACAGCGCGCCATGTTATGGTGACAGTGGAGGGAGTATGGTACGAAAGTTGTTCCTAAATGGAAAATATCGATATGTAACAATTGGTTTAGTCAGTTGGGGTGGATGTACTTTAGGAAATTATTATGGGTACTACACAAGACTGCAGCCATTCTTACCGTGGATCTATCATAAAGTCAGTAAGTATTAATGTCTTGAACATTGTTAAATCGAATGATCTCATTTTCGAGGTAAAACAAAAATGCTTTCTCGCATATGGCTTTGGTCACCATATTGCTTAATGGCATTGGTTGATATTGAATGTTCGGAATACATTGTGYCCTTCTATTCTAATGAAAAMCAATATCTGTGCTAAGTATGACAACAGTCACGCACTCGACTGCGTCTCGTGCCTACTTTTTTGTTCTCACTACATTTTGACGTCATCTGTGTATCTATTAGAGTACACACGCACGGAAAAATGAGATCTATTTGTTAAATAGTATTAATTAAGATGCAATTATTTACAAATTTGTTCTGAATCTTATTAGTCAACCTTTTCATTAGCAACAAAATGTTTCATGCAAAATGGTCTTTCTTTGAGTCAGCTAGAGGCAGCTGTTCACATTATTGACACAATTAGATAGACTGATGGCTGACTTTTATGCTAAGCATTTCACCAGGGATATTCCATTAGTTTTGAATGTAAAATTAAGTATGATCAACTTTTCGCCAACTAGAATTGCGTTGAGAAATTCCAAATATTGATCATTTTTAGATTCCACTTGTATGGGCCCTGCTCAGCCTAAAAATGGTGTAGTTACTCCAGCCAAGAGCGTGTACCAGCCAAATGAAGTCATAAGGTTTACGTGTAACATAGACTACACGAGAATCGGAAAATCAAAACTGACCTGTCAACGAGATGGAACTTGGAATGGATATAAACCAATATGCGGTAAGAGCCAACTTGTTCCAAACTTTTGGCGTGTGAACTTTTATATGCATGCTAATTTTAAAGCATTAAGAACTATAAAACTAGAATGGGTCCTTTTGGTTAAGATTTTGCTTGATCATGATTAGAAAGTTCTCGTTCTTCTTAATTGGTATGGACAGCAGGGGCCGCGGAGACGGCTTTTTGCTTCCGAAAAATTAATAATAAATCGATGATCAGAGCTCGACTATACTGTGACGACATCAAGTTGGAAACGTTAAAGAGTCAACTTCGCATGCCTCCGGACCCCCCTATAAAAATCGCGCCTTYGGCGCCCACCGGCCTCCCCACATTTTTGACCGCTCCGCGGTCACTGACAGGCACATTTTAGTTAGCCTGAGTATCAGACTCTCTCGAAGGGGTTTGGGGCGGAGCTTCCTTTATGGACATTTGATATTTAACGTCCGCATAATATGTCTGCGTGTACGTCAACAGTCAAAGCCCAACAACAGTGCAAAAGAACCAACACCAAGCCATATCGATACTGCATCGGTGATAAAGTCTGTTCGAAGGACAAAGACTGCAAGAAAAATGAGAAATGTCTTTGTGACGGCGATTGTGGAATGAGTTGCATCAAAAACGGTGGGTATTTTTTTGTTATTACATGTATTTTTCCTTTATGATTTGCCATAAGACAGGGTTTTTTTTGGAGGGGGGGGGGGGGGGGGGGGGTTGTGGTTGATTTTGATTCGAACGGCGACTTTT